TTCCTCCCACAAGGCCACACCTCCTCCCACAAGGCCACACCTCCTCCCACAAGGCCACACCTTCTAATAGTTCCACTGCCTCTGAGCCTATGGGGGCCATTTTCATTCAAACCACCACACTTTGTAAACGAATAAAAAACGAGCCTGTTTTCTTCAATCTGAAGTTTTGCATGCTGCCAGGTCACTGGCAGTTGATAGCAGCATGGAATTTTTATTTGTTTGTTAAAGAAGGTTACTTTGTGCTTTCTTTTGAATGCTCTACAATAAACATTTGTTTTCATGTAAAAAGTTCCAGTGATTGTAAATACACATGGTCAAACATTCGTGCATCCAATTATAAAATCAACACTACTGGACGTAAAGGAACAGATAGCGCCAGATACTACAGGAGTAGTAAATTTCAATACCCTGCTCTTTTTGGCATATTATCTAGACATAAAACTAGTGAATAAACATCAGGACTAAACTACATCATAGAGCAAACGGGCTTCACTGACATCTGTACAATATTCTATCTAGCAGCCATCATCTTAGACACCTCTGGAATTTTCTCCAAGCTAGATCACGTTTTGGGCCATACAACAAGTCAACAAATACACAAAGAAAATATAATAAAGTAATAATTTGTATCCCATCAGATTATAACGAACTAAAACCAAAATCAATAACCCAAGAAATTATGCAGACATTTTGAGCCAGAGCGATATACTTTTGAGTGATTCTCAAGTCATTGAAGAAATTGGGGATTAATTTGTTTGTATGCTTGTTTGTCCCAGCAGTACGGGGGATAGAATCCGGGCTCTTGCATATGCTAGTGAAGTGTTCTACTGCTGGCTTCAGCCCAAAGGCGAAGTTCAATAAATTTAAATGTTTGTGGACTTGCTCACAACTGTACTCTGTAGTAATAGGGGCGGCGGGGCTTCGTCCCTGGCACCCTAGCCGCCTGGCTAGCTTATGCCCGAAATAACAACACACAAACTGTATTCATTTGAACACTGCTTGGCCCATTCTCTTCTAGGCTAATTCTCACATATTAACTTAGCCCATTTCTAATCATCTGTGTATGGCACCCCAAGGTGCGCTTACCAGGAAGATTCTAGCCTATGTCCATCCTGGGTCGGAGCTTCATCCCGGGAGCGGGGCATGGCGTCTCTCTCAGGCGTCTGCTCCCGAGAGAAGAGCTGTGGACTCTGACCTCACTTCCTCTTCCTCCCAGCGTCCTGTTCTGCCTACTCCTCCCACCTATCTTTCAACCAATAAAATTTGCCAAGGCAGTTCCTTTATTAGCCAATGACCTTCCTCCATCAGTACTCTGCCCACTGGGATCTACAGAAGAAAATTAAGTCTAAATAACCTTAAATTCCCGCTGGGCGGTGGTGGCGCACACCTTTAATCCCAGCACTCAGGAGGCAGAGGCAGGAGGATCTCTGTGAGTTCTAGGCCAGCCTGGTCTACAAGAGCTAATGCCAGGACAGGCTCCAGAGAAACCCTGTCTTGAAAACTAAAAAATAAATAAATAAATAAATAAATAACCAACCTTAAATTCATAATGGTGGTTTGTACAAAGATGCTTATTAAGGGTTTTGTGTGTGCGTGTGTGCGCGCGCGCGTGCTTGTATCTGCTTGTGTGCATGTGTCAGAGGTTGACACTGGGATGTCCTCTCTCAATCTCTCTTCCATTTTATTTATTTGAGATAGGGTCCCTCACAGACCTAGAACTCACCATTTCAGCTAGACAAATTGGTCAGCCTGCCCGAGATCCATCTCTCTCTCTCTTTCCCAGTGCTGGCTTTACAGGCATGTCCCATCATGCCTAGCTGTTACCTGGGTTCTAGGGATCTGAACACTGGTCCCCATGTTTGTGTACCAAGCACATGACCCAGTGAGCTGTCTCCCTAGTCCTAACATATTATTTTAATGATGCAATGACGGGATGGGGGCAATTAAACTCTGATAACTCAGTCCTATTGACATCTTGATTTTGTACTTTTAGTCTCTAGAATGGAGGCAATATGTTTCTCTTGTTTTAAGCCATGAAATATTTCAAACCTGAGAGCCCAATATACATGCAAGAGCATGGAATTTACAAAGCGTTTGTCACAATACTCAGGACTTAAGTCACAGTAACAGGCTTCTTGTCACTGGGAAGGGACTTCCTTTTTGAAGTCATCAGCTTGCAAAACTGGGAAGTAAAATTTCAGGCTCTTAAGGAAGTTTAAAAAGTAGTATAAAAAGTCAGGCGGTGGTGGTGCACGCCTTTAATCCCAGCACTTGGGAGGAGGAGGCAGGCAGATCTCAGTGAGTTCAAGGCCAGCCTGGTCTACAAAGCAAGTTCTAGGACAGCCAGGGCTGTCACACACACACACAAAATCCTGTCTCATAAAAACAACAACAAAAATACCCAGAAAACAGAAAACACCAACAAGGAAAGTAGTCTAAAGCTGCATGTCACCACGGTGGTCTCTGATCATTGCTCACATTCACCCTCTGAGTGTCTCTCCCTCTTTGCCCATTGTCTGCTCTCACCCTGCGAGAGTGCTTTTCTCCAAACGTGTCTTTGGTAGCTGTCCACTCTCATCCTTGAGAGTCACTCATACTATTCTGTAATAATTCTACCTGATTTCTATACTGTGTTGTGTCTCCTCTGAATTCATATTCCACAAGTATCACAAAATTCTGAAAACAATAATAGGAAAAAGCTCTACTTCATAGACTATCGAAAGAAGACTTTTTGCATGATAGGATCTCATGTATCCCACGTTTGGCCTCAAACTCACTACATAGCTGAGGCTGTGAACTCTGGCTTCTCCTGCCCCCATCCCCAAGTGCTAGAATTACAGGCACGTACCTCTACACTCAGCTCAGAGTGATCATATTTTTTTCTCATCCATTCAATAAAACCTGAATGTACTTGATGTTACTAAGAAATACTGTTAATTTTTCATTTTACCTTTTCATCCCTACACACTTGCCTACACATTTAGGGAGGAATGAAATGACATCCAGGTGGGCCTCAAATGGAGGGGTTGCTCCTGCTGGGATGAAATAATAGACTTCTGGGGCTGGAGAGAGGACTCAGTGGTTAAGAGCACTGACTTGTCTTCTAGGATCCTAAGTTCAATTTCCAGCAGCTATATGGTGGCTCATAACCATCCACAATGAGATCTGGTGCCCTCTTCTGGCCTTCATGTATACATGCAGACAGGATACTGTATACATAACAAGTAATTTTAAAGAAGAGAAATCATAGACTTCCTGTGGCCACCATCTGTATGGGTGATGAGTGGGTGGGTTTAATTGTGGTACCCTGCTTGTTTTGTTTTGTCTCATGAAACCCAGGCTGGCCTCCAACTCTCGAAGTAGCTGAAGATGACCTTGAACTCCTGATTCTCCCACTGCCTGTCCCCAGTGCTAAGACTGTGAGCATGAGCCACCATGCCAGGTTTATGCAGTATGGAGGACAGAAACTCAGGGACCCATCCATGTTAGGCAAGCGCTCATCCAACTGAACTACACCCTCTGCCTTTTTGTTTTGATTTTGGCTTGTAGGTTTTTTTTAGAAAGAGGCTTGAGAGACAGGCTAGAAAGACAAAAGAAAATTAGGGGACCATAAGAAGGAGAAGGCGCTCCTCATTGGTTAAAGCTTTTACCATCTCAGAAAGATGAATTCCAACACAACTGATATTTTCTGTAAACGTTGTCAACATAGAAATATCATTCCTTTCGTGTCAGATATTTTATATTAAAAGAGCAGTGAACCTGGCTTAAAGCGTGAGTGTGTGTGATCTGGGCTCTGGTCTCATTCCTCCTGGACATGGCAGCAGAATCTCAGGAAGGCTTTGTGCAGCCAAGGTCTCCTGCCTCTCTAGAATCTAAACCTCGACTTTTCAATAGGTTCCTCAGCTTCTCTTTGAAGAAAAAAGCTTCAACATCCAACACAAAATTCCCTGTGTGGCTACTGTAAAGACAGCTCCCTCTTAGAGAACCCCACACCTATGTTCTGAGGTGAGCTTTTTTACCTTTCTGAGCACCTCTTTCTTTGAACCCTCTTTGGAAGCTGTGAACTCTGCACCATATTGCCCAGGCGCGGCACTCTTCTCTGCACTGAAGCCGCAGATCCCAGGTTGGTTCTAAAAGATTAAGGATACTGATCAGGTGGCTGAGGGTGACACTAGGATGTTCCTGTCCCCCCATCACTAACAGACTCTCATGTGACCACCCAAGCTGGCAGTGAAGTTGCTGTGTGGTGAGGCTGGCTTCTGATCCTGCCTCCACCTCTCATGTGCTGGGTACTCCAGGTGTGCGTACCACGGTGCCTGGCTACTTCTTGCTTTTGATATTTGAAAATGCCCATCATAAAAGAAGTGTGTGTAAGTCTGAAGCACATAAATGCCAGCATTCATTATACTTAAATTGTTTCATTTTATTCCATGTGCATGAGTGTTTTGACTATATGTACACATCTGTGCACCTTGTGTATACAAGGCCTGGGAGGCCAGGAGAGAGAACTGGATGCCCTGAGACTGTAATTACGGATAGTGGCAAGCCCCGTGTGGGTGCGGGAACTGAACTCAGGTCCTCTGGGAGATTCCAATACTCTTACTCACCGAGCCAACTCTCCGACTCTTTCATTGGTTATAAGAGATTGGAAGGTGTGGTTTCTGATCCTCTTTCTGAATTTTTATTGAACATATTTCATACTTACTGTGCCAACCTTAAAACTTTTTAAGGAAGAGGGAGCAGGTTTAGAGTGTTCATCTTTTCCTATCATGCCTAGAAGATGGGTTACTTCAATCACGCATCACTACATTTTTTTCAAACAAAATTTACATGCATTCTTTCAATTGCCTCAAATGGTGTCAGATTTTATTTAGGGACCTGCAGACTAAAACTCGGGTGTGTCTCTCTCCCTGACATCACATCTACATCTAGATAGGGGCATTTCTGACTGAGCTGCTCTCCCACGTGTTTTCCCAGGGCCTGATCCGGACCTCCACAGCATGGGGCTTGACTTCAAATTCCAAGAAAGTTGTGAGTGCGCGCGCGCGCGCGCGCACACACACACACACACACACACACACACACACACACACAGGTTTTCTTAGTCTCTGAACAGTTGTCTATTGCCTAAAGAAATTGAATGTGAAATAGAAAGATGACTAACTTGCCTTCCTTGCTCCTTCTCCTCTCCCCTCCTCCTCCCTCTTCCTTCTTCTCTACACATTTCTTCCTTCTCCCTATTCGTCTCCCTTCCCCTTTCCTCCTCCTCCTTCTCCTTCTTTTCCTACCCCTTTTCCTCCTCCCTTTCCTTCTACGCTTCTTCTCCCAGCTCAAACACTTGGCATATTCTTGAGTTGGAATGATGCAGCCGGAATAAGACAAAGTGTCCCGAGCCTGGGCAGGCGTTAGTCACTGCCAGCGCCACAAGGCAGGTAGCCAGGACTGTGCTCCTTTCTTGGGGCCATAGGGCACCAGGAAAGTGACCTGGGTGTAGAATTCACCGTCTGCCCAGAACCGCCGCACTGGGGCGACACCTCCGCAGTCGCCCAGGGACGCAAAGCGCGGACAGTCAGTCTCGGGGCTACCTGGAGATTGACTTCTGAAAGTTGCAATCGGAATAGAGGGCCAGCAGCCAGGGCAAGTGACAAGCGGACAAGGTTGAAGTTAGGTGTGCGCAAAAAGCTGCAGAGCAGACCAGAAGGAGTTTGCCGGCTCAGTGAAGACAACATTAAGGAGCGAGAAGGGAGACCGCCGGCTTGTCCAGGTGAGGGCCCCGCGCTGCGGGGGACAGGAGCAGCCTCCCTGAGGAGGGGGTGTCACTGCCGGCCGCCGGGGCTTCTTCCAAAGCAGGGGTGGGGATGCTGAGTCACAGATCTGTCACCACTTCGCACCTCTTTGCAACCCCGGGGGCTAAAGCAAAAGCGAAAGCGAATGCTCCTGGCTGCCGGCTGGTCCTGGAGCTGAGCTCGCTACCTCCCAGAGACCCCAGCCTTGCGTCCCGGTGGGGCACCGCGAGGGACGTTCGGCCATGACTTCGCGGCAGCTCTCGGGCTCTGGAGTCCACGCCCTCCAGGTGTTGCTGCTACTGCTGCTGCTGCTGCTCCCGCTGCGGGTGACACCGGGTAGGGAGCGTCTTGAGTCCACACAGGGGAGTAGAGGGGGACCTGAACACCGGCTGAATTTGACCCGTGGGGGTCACGACTTCACAGGACTCAAGTCCAGCTGGAGAGGATCACGGAGGGGCGTGGGGGTTGTGGGGTTCAGGACACGTGGAGGCAGCCGCGGAGAGCGGAAAAAAAAAGATGAGAGCCCCTTGTCTTGCTCCAGGCTGGCTGACGAGTCGCTTGTTCAAAGGAGTCGAGCGACCCCACTGACTTTTCGGAGACTTAGGGAGGAGAGCAGAGCAGGTCTGACAAGCTAGGCGAGAGCTTGGAACTCGGAGACATGTGTGAGAGCGCCTCTGCCAGCCCACACGCGCTACTATGGGGTGTCGCGCCGATGTGTGGGGTTCCAGGAGGGGCTCGAGGAAAAACTGACGATTTTCAGGTCAAAGTAAATTAGATGAAAGGAACCGGGCAAAGGGCTGCATTGCGGGTGGAAGAAAATGTGTGGGGTAGGTTGCATATCTGAACGCTGGGAAACAACTCCCAGTTCTCAAGTGTGCGGAAAGCTTGGGATGGTTGGAGAGGCGAGCAGACTGTGCTCCCAGGAAAGAGGGGGTGTTATATGTTCCAGAACGTGTCGCCTAAATCGAATCCCATCGGGAAGAAGGAGTGAGACCCTAGTTTTGTTCCTGTAAGTCTATAAGGAAAGAGAAAGAACAGATGGATCTAGTAATGTCCCATCACGGGACGCTTCATCTTCTTATAATCATGAAATTCTTAAGAGTCTGATAAAAATCTATGTACTCTTTGTACAAAAATGTACGTGAAAGCACATACTTGCAAAATGTGCGCCTGACTTGGGGGGCGGGGGGGGGAGGGCACGAGGACTCACTGAAGGTCATTCATGGACTTCCCAGTGAGTTAGCAACTACTTATCCCCAAGGGTGTTTTAAAGCGAGACTTCTTGGTTTGGGGCATCCAATCCAGTCTCCTTGGGACTCCATCATAGCCGGTCCACTCACACTTGCTCCTGGGGCTGGCTCTGTAGGGGTGTTATGGGGTTTCATTTTCCCAAGGCTATTATTATTCTAGGGTCCCCACCCTCCATCTGGGTTTTGTTGGTAAATTCCCTTGAACTGGATAGAAAGGAGTGATCCTGAATGGCCAGAAATAGCCTGCAGCTATTTCAGTCTGAAAGTGAATGCAGTTTTAGTCTTGCTCAGCCTGGCTCAGCCTAGAGGAAGCACCTCTCTGTTGCCTGAGGGAAGGCTCAGGTGCTACAGACGGCCTTGCTCTTTGACCTTAAGGCGCTTTTGCCATCAGCTGGCACCTGAATCTTGGTTTTAAGAATAGCCATATTATGTCATAACTGACCATAAACTGCATATATTTAAATTGTACAGCTTGCTAAGTTTCAAAATAAAAGTGTACACTCTTTAAACTGTCACCATAATCAACACAGGGACATGGTCATTACTGCCAAGCTCCCTATGTCCTCACAATCCTTATCTCCTGCCCCACTGTGCAATGTCTTGTCCTTTTCCTGTAGATTTGTTGCACGTTCTAGAATTTTATATAAATGCATGTACTCTTTCTTATGTGGCTTCTGTAGCTCACTAATTCTTCTGAGTCTTCATTCATGTTTTAATTTGAATCAACAGTAAATTCCCACCAAATCTGGTGGAGAATGCTTGCTTATATTCCCAGCACTCTGAGGCAGAAGGATCTCTAGTTCAAGGACAATCTGTGTTATATGGCAAGATCCAAAACCAAAAATAAATAGAAGGGTAACCACTGAGGAGATGGCTTAGTGGGTAAAAACACTTGCCACCCAGATTAGGGGGCTTGAACTCATATGAACAAGATGCATAGCACATAGGGTGGGATGAGAGGCAGGGATGGCAGAATCCCAGAAGATCAGAGGTGGGAGAACAAGGAGAGAGAGAGAGAGAGAGAGAGAGAGAGAGAGAGAGAGAGACTCAAGCAAGGCGGAAGGTGAGGAATGACTCACTACACTCCTGTCTCAGCATCCAGGTGCTGGGATTGCAGGAGGGTGTGAGCAACCATACCCAGTTAAACAATTGTTCATTGTTAAAGATATGATTGAGCTTCAGTTGCCTCCTGATTGTTGGGTATTTAGGTTGCCTCAGCATGGGTAATGGTCTCTAAAAGCTCAAAAATAGCAATATCTGAGAGGTAAGATGTTGAGAAATACTATATTCTCTTTCTTCCTCTTCTTCTCCTTTCCTTGAGACAGGATATTACTGTTTAGCACTGGCTGCTCTAGAACTCTCCAAGTAGACCAGGCTAGCCTTGCCAGAGATCTGCCTCCCACGTGCTGGGATTAAAGTCATGTACCACAAAGCAGGCCTGGCTCTGGTGATTCCCTTTCTTCAAATGTGTCCTAGGAATCACTTTGGTGCCATTCATCACATATGGTGGTAGATGTTAGCGGATGCCTTTCTCCTAGGGGACTGCGGGGTCTATGGAGGACAGGTGCTCTAAGAGGGTGGGAACAAACTGTAGTGAGAGCCTGGAGGCTGCAAGTGAGACTGGAGTTTCTGCAATACTTCGGTGTGCGGTGAAGAAATCCTGAAACAGAGTGGTATCTATGAGATTGGAGCAAGTGACTTCCTCTTGAGTCCAAACTGTAAGGAACAGGTTTCAATCTACAACTGGTAGCCATCCTGGCTTCCAACCCTCGAAGGGGATTAGGAATCCTAGTTAAATGAAACTGAGGGACGAAGAAGAGCAGATGAGTTTGGGGCAATGAGCTGAGTACAGCCTGTACTTATTGCACCATGAGGAAGTATGCTGGGTTGGCTGGCACTTCAGACAGGAAGAAAAATAGGTTACTGGAAGCCTAGATGCCCTGACTGTTTGGGCACATCTGATTCAGAGTCAGCTTCCAGAGGGCAAGAGCTATGCTTTCATTTCGTGGTGCCTCCATGCCTGTCACAGGGACTAAGGGGAAGGAAATGCTGTGACGGATTCTGACCCCACTTAAAGGGTAGAAGACACAAGCTTACCTGACAACTCTTGAACTCCAGATACAAGAGTAGGTCAGGGCTCCTTGCCCATCTTAGACTCTGCAAACCAACTTGATAAAGAAGCCTGATCCACAGGTTCTGGGAACCAGAAAGAGGTGTAGTCCTTTGCTACAAATGCAAATGATCTTTAGAACTGACTGTGTGAGAACTTTGAAAGTAGCACAACTGTAAGTTAGCTCCAGGTTCCATAACTTCATCCACTGTAAGTATTCATAAGTTACCAACTTAAATACCTACCGTAAATGGGGTTTAGAAGTGGGAAAGGAGTTCCAGGGAACTGTGAAATACATGTACCATCTTCATGAAGCTTATGATCCAACAGACAAGATGAAACTTGCTTATAATGGATGTCTCCCATCCAAGTACCAACCAGACTTGACCCTGCTTAGCCTCCAAGACCAGACAAGTCCCATCAAGTTCAGTATGGTATGGCTGACATTGGATATCTAAGATATATATTGAGGGGGGATTGTAGTATCATTGTAGTATTAAAATATGTAATTAAGGCTGAGGGAAGTGAAAAGTTATCATTACATTAAAATATATTGCTTCTAATGCAATTGCGAGACCATCTAGCTTTGTAAATTAAATAACTCACCGCCACTTGACTGTTTGGCTGTTTGGGTTTGCTGCAGCATTTTGATATTCTTGTGCATTCAAAAATCAGCTATTCCTAGGTTTATCTCTGAGGACCATTCACCAGGAAAGACCCAAGATAGACTTCCTTTTTCAGAAAAAAAAAAAAAGACAAAGTAGATAAGGCAATGCGCTCTTGATACAAATACCCAGAAATGATTAGCATTAAAGTCCTCTTTCAACTGATGGTTGATAAAGGATAATTTTGTTGTACAAAGCAAAAGTAATAATTCATTGGTTATGGAAAAGTAAAATGCGCAATGACGATAACACAAAGGTTGGGAATGATATATGGACAATAATCTTTAAGGCTTTCTGGGGGTGGGGGAGAGGATGTAGTGTGCATGTGTTCACTAAAGGGGAACATTTCATGTCCTATTCTATAACTGTGCCTTATTCCTTTGTGATAGGATCTCTCACTGAGCCTGGAGCTAGGCTAGCAGAGATCCCTTGTCTCCCCATCCCCAGCACATGCACAATCACATCTAACTTTCCTACTTGAGGACAGAGGATTTAAAATCAGATCTTCACACTTGGACATCAAGAGTTCTACTGTCTGAGCCATCTCTCCGGCCTTGTTGAAGGTTCTTATGCTATTTGTGTGAGGTGATATAATATCACTCATAGATAAACACTGATATCCTAAATGAACCTCTAGAATAAAGCAATAGCGAAACTGGGTACAGTGGTTCATGATTGTAATCTCAGCAATTGCAAGACTGAGGAGGATAATTGCTGGGAGACTGAGGGAAGGCTGGGCCACGTAGATAATTCTAGGATAGCCTGGGCTACATAGTGAGATCATGTCCAAAACTAAACCCCAATCAATAAAAAACTAATTAAAAATATAATGCAATAACTATTTCATTAGTAAGACAATAAAGGAGATAAAATAGAATTATGAAATAGTTCAAGTAAGTCATGGCCTGATCATGGCCAGAGGAAATCGCACAGGACCTAGAGAATGTTATTAA